TGACACCATGCCTGATGAATAGCACTGTCCAGTCTGTGAGATTTGATGGTTGTGGGAGCGGCTGCCTGATGGCTCTGTTAACTACGTCCCACAAATGCTCAATTGGATTGAGATCTGGTGATTGTGGGGGCCACCTAAGCAAGGTAAAGGCTCCCTCATGTTCTTGAAACCACTCCTGCACGATACGAGCACCGCATGTGAGGTGCACGCTTTCATGCTGTTTCTGCCAAATTCTCACTCTGCCATCTGCATGATGTAACTGGAAATGTGATTCATCAGACCACATGACTTTTTTCCAATGCTCAATTGTCTAATCCTTGTGTTCCTATGTGAATTGGAGACGTTTTATCTTGGTAACTACAGACAGCAAAGGTGTTCGAACAGGCCTTAGGCTTCCATATCCCATACGATGCAGTGTACAGCTAATTTGCCTACAAACGTCAGGTGGTCAGAATAATCTGGCCACTCAGTGTATAAAAACAGATGTGAAACATTTCCATTTAAAACTAATTAAGATTCCAAGAGCCAGTGTATCATTCCAAAATGCTTCTAGATGGTTATTACAAAATATTTTAAATCCTTTATTCCAGTCCCTGCATTCACATCTCTAGAGGAAATCTCTAGGTGAATAGTACCGCATTCATCTAACTGGCTTCTTCCAACCCCACACCTTCCCTTCCCACTCTACCACCATCTCCATGAATGCCTTTTGTACCTCAGATCTGTCCCCAACTCTTGCCCTAGACTGAAGTTATACCAGATCACATCTGTTCTTTAACATAAGAGGACTTACATAACTTTCCATGGTGAGCCAAGTCTTTTTCTTCCATAATGTTTATCTTCATTTACTTACTCTTTTTAATCTTTCCTAAGGCTTGACACTTTACAAACTGTTGATTTTGCTCCGAAGTTTATTGTTTTGGCTCTGAAGCTTATTTTAAAGATGCTCTTGCTTTTACATATGAGAGTTCTTCTTTTGTCTGTCTGGTAGCAAATAAGAGGCCACCAAGGACAGCTTTCCCCTGAGCCATGGCATCCCACAGTCGAGGAGTGTTCCTTTGTGCTTGACCTGTGCACAAATCACAGGGGCTTTTTTTTTTTAAAAGAAATAAACAACAAAGATATATTCAAGGATCTTAGAGTTTGTAAACACAATTAGGCAAAAACCCAGAAGTGTGCTGAAGAAGAAAGGAAAGTTATAAGTTCTTATAGAGGCTAATCAGTTCTGTATTCTTAGTTGGTCCAAGACACTTATCATTTGGATGTCAGGCGGTCTGGGTGATGGATGCTAGGTAGTCGGGTCATGTAAGACCTGGCTGACCCAGAAGGTGGTATTTATAAATAGTCCTCCAGGCCCCCTCCTTAAAGCTTGTCTACTTAATCCTCTCCTCTCTCAAGATTGGAAGTGACTTGCCATTAGAGTCTTAAAACTCAGGCTCTTTTTCTCTGAAAAATCTGGTTGGCAAAAAACTGTCAAACAAAAATGTTTTCAGCCAGATGATGACCAACCATCAAAGCTTACCTTTCATTTCCAACATTTTTAGCCAAATATGCTCCCTCTTTAGAGGACCAGCTTTTCTTATTATTATTCTAAGACACCTACCTCAATAATGATTTTCTTTTTACTAGTAGGCTATCATGGATTTCTATTTTTATGATTTATAAGGCTGTTCCCAAATGGCTACATCTCCACTATGAACTCAGAGCCTTCCTTTTCACCCTTAAAACTACAGAATGTGGAGGGGCTCTAAGTGTCTTCCAGCCCATCATTTTTGGATGGAGCTCTGTTTTTATTTCTTTAATTTTGAATTATTTATTAAGGCTTTTCTTTGCTGATCTGGGCCAGTGACAATCATACTTTTCTGGAAGCTGCTACGTCTGATCCAGTTGTTGCTTTGCGAGGGGAGCCTCCTTCTCCAAGGCTTTTATTGCTGTAGTCTTGCCCCCACTTGAATATGAGCCTGGAACTTTAGAAGTAATTTTATTTTTATTATTTAAGAAAGGCTGGACCTAACCAGTTTGGCTCAATGGATAGAGCGTCGGCCTGCGGACTGAAGGATCCCGGGTTCGAGTCCGGTCAAGGGCATGTACCTGGGTTGCGGGCACTTCCCCAGTGGGGGATATGCAGGGGGCAGCTGATTGATGTTTCTCTCTCATCAATGTTTCTAACTCTCTATCTCTCTCCTTTCCTCTCTGTAAAAAATCAATAAAATATATTTTTTAAAAAAGAAAGTCTGGTGTCCACTGTGGCTGGATTGGTACATAAGAGACTCTCTGTAGAGAAAGAATGAAAAGCATGCACAGAGGAGGTCGAATAGTAGTGTGTCTTCTGAAAACCTTAGGCTTAAATGTCTAAGGCCCTTCAGTTTATTTTTTAAATGTATTTTTATTGATTTCAGAGAGGAAGGGAGAAAGAGAGAGAGAGAGAGAGGGAGAGAGAGGGAGAGAGAGAGAAACATCAATGATGAAAGAGAATCATTGATCAGCTGCATTTTGAGCCCGCAACCTGGGCATGTGCCCGGGACCCTTCAGTCTCCAGGCCAACGCTCTATCCACTGAGCCAAACCAGCTAAGGCTAAGGCCATTCTGTTTAGATCTGAGCTCAGAATGGACTTGCTAGAGCAATAGTATCTATTGTTTTATTTCTCCAGTTGGGGAAGCTTCCTCTTAACCCCAAAAGAGACCCCAAAATGGGTAAACATATTTGTAGTAATTAGAATTGTAAGACATGACCTAAACAAGTATGTATACTTTTGACTTGCTTTTTAATTTAGTTGTTTAAAAAAAGTGGAGTTTAGAAATATGAAGCAGAGGAGAACCAAGATGGCGGCATAGGTTAACACCGGAGTTTGCAGCCTCGAACAACCACTTCAAAAGTGAAACTAAAAGACTGAACGGACATCACCCAGACCCACAGGAACGCTGGCTGAGTGGAAGTCCTACAACTAGGAGGAAAGA